TACTGCTCTTGCCAATAGCTAGAGATAAACCTTTGAGTCTTTTTCCTTGTTTGTGGTTTTTGCTTGTATTGTGTTTTTTGACCTTTTGACCCTATGGGTCTACCAAGCTTGATCTATTATCATTTTCCATTTATATAAAATATAATTTTTTTTACGTCATTTTTTGAAATAAAATTTGACTCACAATTTTTATATTTATTTTAGATACAATTTTAATGATAAATGCTTTACTAAATAAAATCTGAAATGTTTACAATCTTCATTTTTTAAAACCTGTTGGATAAAATATATTTTTTATAAAATTTTTTAATTAAATTAATAAAAAACTGTATTAAGCCATAATATTACATGCAATCTTACAATTTTGAATATTTACATCAAAATTTTATTTTTTATTTAGCTTTCATAATAAAAAATATTTCAGTTGAATAAAAGAGCTAATCTAGTGAAATTTGAGTTGTAATATTTTTGATGATATCACATGATCTTTAAAAAAATCTCAAAACATTTTATATCTTTTAAACCACATATCTTTGTCTAAATGCAATTTGAAACTAATTTCTAATATGATCTAATGATTAGTTTGTAATCATACCTAATATTTAATTTTAAAGTTCATGCTTGGTTTATTTTTGTTAATGATGATTTTTGTTAAAATATTTTTTAAAAAGTTTAAAATTGATTGCAAAAAATCTCACAAAATCTTAATAAAAGTTGCTCATGAGCTTGATTGATAAACAAAAATCTAAATTAATGAGTAAGAATTGTTCACAAGATCTAAAGATTTTCAATTTTTTACATAATAAATTAAGTTGGTTTGTAATCATGAATAATCTTTAATTTTAAAATCCATGCTCAGTTTACTGTTTTTTTATTGGTTTTGAGATTGAATTGCTCACAAGATTACAAGATCTTTAGATATTTAGATGATTTTACTTAAATTCTCAGTGAAATCAAAACAATTTTCATTCAATTTGAAGATTGGATGATAATCAGATTACACTCTTGTATTACAATGTAAATAATAAAGAAAATTATTATTTTGATCAAGATCATAATTTTATACCAAACTATATATATCAAACTTTTGAAGAAAATTTTAAAAACTGATCAATAAAAAGACAAAAATAAATTCTTCATATATGACTTAAAAAAACAGTGATATATGTATATTTTTGTATTTTTAAGCTTAAAAATGAAATTAATTAAAATTAATTAAAATCTATAATATATTTTAAGATCAGAATACAATATCAAGTTTCAAATTGCAGATAATCTACTTTAGAGTAGCTTGTAATTACGCCTTCGTAAATAGTTCTAAGGCAAATTTAGAATTGAAAGAAAATGAAGAGAATGTAATTGAGTTAGATTTGAAACTAGAAGTAAGATGGGAGAGGAAGAAGAGAGGCCCAATATTATAGAGGTATTTACTTGATGGGACCTCATGTAAACCCTAACTTGCTTACTGGAATCCTTTACGTTTTGTTTTACTTGATGGGACCCTATAGACTGGATACGTCATGCATTATCTAGTGTCAACAAATAGTGCAGGTAGTGAAAATTCGTAAATCAAAATTATCAAACTAGCCAAGAATGTGTAAAATTCATGGGGATGGAGGAAAACGGATCTCTTCAGATGCAACCGTCAATACACATAGAACAATCCATCTATGCATGAGGAGCAAGTTCTCCACAATCACATGCCAGTTTCCAGTCACGCATGAAATTGGGTGCAGATGATAAAAAATTGACAGCCTTTCTGTAACATATTAGTCGGGGCTGTTCTTAGAGACAGCCGGACTTTAGCAGACTGACTGATATGGAAAATGGAGGCAAGAAGATCGAAGGAACAAGTTTAGGTCTTTTTTGAGTACTTCTTCATGCTCTTTCATCTAGCCCATTCCTGTCAAGATTTTTACGAAAGATTTGCTAGGTAGTAACGAGTTGCAATGACAAAGCTCCACTAAAACTTCCATCATATGTTTACAGTACCACATATTGGAACTTGAAAATGGTATACCGTCAGTGGAGTCCCATAGGCTAAAACGAAAGTTGATGGGTCCCATTAAGCGGTTTAGGTTATGATGGGATTCCACCCATGATGCACATGTAATGTGGGTAGATAAAGAGACAAAATGGCGGTTAAGTCATATATACAGATGCCAAATTTGTGTAAGTATTTTGATTTTAGAGCCACCTAAAGATTTGCAACCAACAACCATATGAAAAAACCTTCAGAAACATGTCATAGATTAATCATAGATTTTTTGTATGCTATATGAGCTTAGCAACTATCTTTTTTTAGCTCAACCTGAGTAGCATATTTAAAAATTGGATTAAGTAATAGTATGCTAAGATTATATTATTTTTCATACAAATTTATCAAGCTTGTAATATATTCATCAAATCCATAATCAAGATGGAAAAATCCATGTATTGATCAAAGAATTATTAGAAATTTTTTTGAGATCCATGCCATGATTGGATATATTTTTCCAGTTATCCACTTCACCTCGATATGATAACCTCTAGCTTCCAATCACGCTTTACATGAAATAAGGTTCACTTTTTGAGAAGATTTATCATCATCTTAACAAAATAGAATCAATTTTTTTAATTCAATAATCAGAAAGTAACGTAAAATTGTATGCATCGTAACTAGTCTGCTTAAATTTTCTAGCATGTTAAGGAGTTATTTTGACATCATTTGTATTATCTCCATGAATATCAAAATTTATGACATTTCTTTTCATACAGGTTTCAATTTTTAGTTTTATCTCATTTCATTGACGATTAATTGATGATTTCAACTTTTCTATATTTCAAAAAGACCTTGATTGCCACAAATGCTCCTGTATTTGACTCAGAAATGAGTTAAACTTATTTATCAATGTCCGTAGTTTATATTAGGCTTTTGACATTGACCTCACCATCTTATGCAAGTTGCTACATAATCTCTGTAATCTGAGTGTCTCCATGTTTGTCACATATGTGGCAACAACCGGAGATGGAAAGGTGCAATCTGTATGAGGGTCAAAAAGATGTTTCAAGCCATATTGTAAGATACGCTCGAAGCAGAACAAAGTCCTTAAAATATAAATCATTTTAGCTGAAAGTTGATCTACCATTACCACAAATAATTAATGCACAAAATGGAGAATGAGACATATAACTCAAATAATCGGAGGTTTCAGGCGATGCAGCCGTCTCCAGGGTACAACATTCATGTGAGAGGGGCAACTATTATGCAACACTCAATTGAGTTTGATTGGCGTACCGGAAGGTGAACCCAGTAGGGCCTACAACAATATATCGGCGTTTCGAATAAGACGAACAAGGTTGTACTGTTTTCAAGGTAATTAATTAGTCGCCTGGGCGAGAAAGGTTAGTCGTGTATTGCGTGTGCTGAACACACCTCGATGTGCAGGATACACCTTGCTCACGTGCATAGCACAGGCTGAAGTCATCTGAGAACAACTTCGCCGGAGGCTTTACTCCCAAGTTGATACAAACAGGACCGAAGATCATGTTTTTGTCAAGTCATGTATGGAAAATATATATCATTATTATTCAAGGGGCAATACAGGTTATATTTATGGACATTACGTCATACCGAAATTCCAAAAAGCGAGTATATATATGAGACCGAGGGCTAGGCTGTGGTGATATGTGTGGCCTTACGTCATCATTTTTAGTTCGTTCCAACCTAGTCAACGTGTAAATGAGAGACATCTTTGGGATGGTCTTGCAGGTGCACAATTCTTTGCATTCACAATTTATTTACTAATTTTTTATAGCCGTATTGAACATGGGTCGTAGATGCCACTAGCCCTTGGTGAAGGTTACCGCATGTAGATCGTTCTAAGGGCAATTCCCTCCCACCCCTTACTAAGAATTATACTCCCATGTTCATATTGGTCCGTTAGTATTTGTATGGGAAGTATGGGAAGAACAAATTGCGTTGTTATTTGCACTCACAAATATATCTCTTTATATCAAATATATAAAATCTAATACTAATATTAGGGTATTGAATAACAATATCATGTAACATGATAAAATATCATACGAACTTTTTTCAATGGTAGTAACATTTTCATAATATATCAAATAAATGTATGTGAGGTCATCACTCTCCCCCCCATACCAGACCAAACATCACCTCTTTATGGTAGCTATAAACCTTTTCTTCAAACTAGCAATGAGTCACATGGATCCATGGTGCATCAGCCGTAGTACCACGGTTGCATATGATTAAATGATTAAAGGTGCGTCAAGCAGGCCAAAACCTTTTAGAAAAAGGTAGCAAAATGCCCGGATGTATAATGTGACCATGATACAAACATCCACCCTTACAGCAGCAAAAACGTTGACTTGTACCAAAGTTATGAGGTATCGCTGAATACGCAAAAAGACAGTAGAACATTCATTGAGTTTGAAAACAATTTCACTAAAATCGCAATAAAAAATAAAAATCCACTTTTCTGCAAAATTGTCATCGAGAACGTATGTTCAAACGGAGTCCAATGCATCCTGGAATGACGTAGTAGGAACTTTAAAGTATATGACCCTGTACACTTTCCGCTTATACATACGTAGTATTTACAAAGCTGTAACTTGGTCAAACTCCTCGGGGACAGGTGGTTTTGTCCGTGGCTGTACTTGGAGTCTCTTTTAGACCGACGGGTCTAAAGGAGTCTTCAAATCTTCTAAGAAAGTCTCTAGAGTCCATATTCAGAACATTCGCAGATCTATTCGTTCTACCTGTTTCGATAGATTCTCAATATGACGCCCGAGATTAAGGGCCTTACCACACTACCAGCAGCGGGCACCAAGCTCCTGGCTATAAGAAAACCAGGTTTTCGTAGGCCTAAGTTGGCCAGCTGGAGAAAATTCCATAACCTCTACCACACACTACCGGTAGTGCTTTTGGAGTGAAAAGAGAAAAATATCTCTACTAATTGCAACGCAGCGGTGAGAAGTATTTCGAAGAGTAACCCAAGAAGCGCGAAAGTAGACGTGGAGTCGATATCTTCAGTGAAAACCGGATTTCCAGGCGGAAGTGCCTGGTAGTTCGGAGAAATCGATTTCTTTGACACCTAGGATATATCAAATTGCCGCTCCCTCCCGTGTGATAAAGAGTGAAGCTCGGGTGCCAATAACAAGCGAGGATTCGCTGCCGGTAGTTTGACCCTAAATCATCGTGTCGAGTGGCGTGTGCACAATATATTTTTAGCCAGCTCAGAGGGTAGACAAGAAGACCCACGTATACCGCTGATCAGATCGTGGCGGCTAGAACTATATCAACCAATGCCGATTCCCCGCAAGACCTGCAAAACTGGAGAGTAATCGCTCCACCCGTGCGTGCATTGGCTCGGTTGGAGGCAATGGAGTCATAATGCACGGAGTGATCCGAGCTTGGGAATCGAACGCGGCAAGGTAGAGGACGAGGTTTCGAGAGGTCAAGGTTTGGACAAATTAAAGCCGCACGAGTGATCGTCTTCCTGTTGGCCCGTGCTTTTGTAGATCTGATGACTCGGGAGCTTCTCGTTGCAAATATAGATGAGCTCTTTTGTGGATAAAGCATTTGGTTGCATCTCGTTGTGAGATGACCTGCCAGAGGCCCAGCAGCTGCTATTGAAGGTATAGCAGAAGGAACAGCTGCGGTGATATAGAATCTGCGTGTTTGAATCAAATTCTGTCAGTCTGTCCATGGCATTCTCATCTAACTCGGTAATTTTGTTTGGCGGCACTGCAGTCAAGGGTGTCGAAGAAGGTCTCCTGATGCTCAACGGGAAATTCATGCTTTGGTAGGGCTGGTTTGATCTGTGACTACGGAATCGATACATGCCAATATGGAATCGTCAAGGCAGCCTCCAAATTTACAGGTGAACATGTACTGGTTTTATGGAGTTATGATCGCGGGGGTTCTAGTCTGGGTAGTCCAACTGATCAGCGCCGTCAATCAAAATAAGCTGAAGCTGAAGCTTCCTCCCGGACCACCGCAATGGCCTTTCGTGGGAAATCTCCTGGATCTGGGCAAGATGCCGCACCATGCCATGACCAGCATGGCGAAGAAATACGGAGATCTCGTCTATCTGAGGCTCGGAGTCGTGCACGCTGTGGTTGTCTCTTCTCCGGACATGGCGAAGGAATTCCTCAAAGTTCAGGATAGCGTTTTCTCAGGCCGATCCAGCGGAGTCCAGTCGAAGCTCATATTCTACGATTCTCAAGGTTTGATCCTTTCTGTGGGAGATCACTGGCGATTAATGCGAAAGGTGACCACTTTGGAGCTCTTCAGCACAAAACGAGTCAAGGAGGGAGAGGTCAGTTGGCATTCATGTTTCAATTCTCTTCGATCTAAGCTTTCACATTTGAGTCTTTCCAGTTCCAGTTCGAGTTGTCGTCCAGCCACTTCCGCCTGCTGCACAGATCTCTGGATTTTGTCCAGCTCAGTTTTGATGAAGTTCTCTTGCAATAATCGTGACACAAAAGTATGCGATCTTAGGATAAGCATTGTACTCAAGGCAAAACCTCATGCGGTATATTCTTTCGATAGTTCCTGTGCCTGCATGTGACTGTGAGGAGGCCTTTCAGTGAGCCTCAATCACAGCCCTGCTGCAGCTATTTCATGTAACAGAGGTTAAACACTGCCGTGGCCTTGTTATAATGGCAGCCGATTCGCCGAGAAGAGCTTCTGATTGCGATATCAGATCTACTGGAGAAAGGCAATGCCAAGGAGACGGTGAAAATGGATCCTTTTCTGTTCGGATTGGCCATCAACAACATCACTCGGCTACTTTTCAACGAGACATACTACGGTACTAAGGTTACAGGTGCACCCCAGGATTGCAAAACTCTCCAAGACCTCATCACGGCCAATTACGATGCAGGATTCCTCGTTATACGGGATTTCATTCCCTGGTTAGGACCCCTGGATCTGGGTGGAACTGAGGCCAAAATGAAGAAAAACGGACGAGGTTTTGACGCTTTTTTTTCCAAGAAAATGGACGAACACCGTGCCCAGGGCTTAAAAGGTCGGAATGGATTACCTGCACTGGTAGATGTGCTGCTTCAACTGCAGCAGGACGGTGAGGGTCCCTCCGAGCCGGCAATAAAGGGTCTCCTAATGGTGAGTATTGTCTATCCAGTCGATGCCACCATGCCTCAAGACGAGCTAACCATGAAAGATCTAGTTGTGAAGTGTTGTGTAGCAGAGATGTGGAGGTCATGGATTCAAGTATTCAAGTATTTCAAATCAGTTTGTTTTATTTTTGGAACAAAAAAATTTCAAATCTTTTAATAAAAATTTAGTACGATTTAAAATTCCGTACCTAGCCCGCTGCAACGGGCTAGGCACGGATTCTTTTTTTTCTTTTCGCGATTTAATCGGATCTTCCGGCTTCCAACCGCGATTCTTTTGCTGGCTGATTAAGGCGCTCGTATTAAAGCTCTACTTTCTCGACGGTAGAGGACTTGGAAAGGGCTCTATCACAATTACCGGATGTCATTTCCGGGCCAAGCAGTTTCCGTATACATGGATAGATACGTAAGAGGACAGAATATTTGAGCTTCTTCTGACTTTGATGTGGCCTTGGCAGGATATACTTCTTGCTGGCAGCGAAACTGCTGCAAGTGTGGAAACGTGGGCATTAACAGAGCTCATGAGGCATCCCGAAGCTCGACAAAAGCTGTTGACGGAGTTGGATACCGTTGTAGGAAGGGACAGGTTAGTGGAAGAAGCCGATTTGGTGAACCTCAAGTATCTGCAGGCTGTGGTGAAGGAGACTTTCCGTCTGCATCCGGCGTTGCCCTTTCTAGTACCACACGAATCCCTGTCCGCCACCAAAGTCGCAGGCTACGACATTCCTGCGAAGACGAGGGTCTTTGTAAATATTTATCATATCGGCCGAGATCCGAGCCTGTGGAGCGATCCACTGTCGTTCAATCCTGACAGGTTTCTCGACAGCCCTATAGGTGTGAGAGGACAGAATTTCGAACTTCTTCCCTTCGGATCCGGTCGAAGAATTTGTGTGGGCTTGAATCTAGGCATGTTACTGATCGAGCTGAATCTGGCACAAATTTTGCACACATGCGAACTGTCTCTTCCACCTGGCGTCAAGCCTGAAGACGTAGATATCGAAGAAAAGTTCGGTGAACAAGTTACTACACCCAAGGCTGTTCCCCTAGAAATTGTTGCGGCGCCTCGCTTACCATCGCGTGTGTACAAGGAAGCTGGCATGGTGTTCTAAGTTTCGGTCGTGACTGATTTTTTTCCCCTCTGCTCAGTTGGATTTAGCCGGCTAGAAGCATGACCCGAACTTGTCCGAGAGCCGTGGAGCTTAAATCGGCCAATGTTGTTGAGCTGTCCTAAACTACGCTTCTTAACCTCGAGGATCCGTGTACATAAATTGAAACTGATCAATTAAAGACCTGATTACAGGTCTCTCTTTCATGGTATTGACAGCAGCAGCTGCAGCTGGTGAGCTCACTGTACTGTCTTGAACTGTCCTGCACTGCATAGTTATCGAAATAAGCTGTCAATCGTTCAATCGAAATAAGCTGTCTCCATCATAGCAGGGTGGTAATGTTTACCAAGTCCAGGTCAACGATTCTAGAATGCCGCAATCTACGGAGCTTGGCAGCTTCCTCTTCTTCGTCGTAGTTTCAAGCTTGTCTTATCTGAGATTTGATTCCCATTTCCGCGAGTCTTCTAAATTAAGAAAGGGAGAAAGTTAAAATGGTTCTCCGTTTTTTTGGGAGTAGAACAGGAACCACCCTCGCACATTTGTAGTTTGTTATGAAATTGTTTACATCAGGATTATGAAACATATAAACAAAATTACCACATTGAAGGTGCACCGCCCAAAGCACCTAGCAGGTCCTAGCATTATGCAAATAGTGTGGAGAGCAATCTGCATGCACAAGAATGAATGAAGTCCATTTTCACTTCCATATCATGCATTCCCTTGGGCAAAACAAAATGTAACATAGAGAAAACAATAGAGTGATCCATAAGACCATGTTATTGAATATCGTAATTGTAAATGCAGATTTCTCCATGATGTCAGCACTGTCCGAAATTTTACATGTCTAAACAACCCTGACCGAAGTCTCGAAGGTTTTGCCCAAAGGATGTTGCGTGCTGGGACGGTGTTTAATCGGGATCGCATTCATAAAGAAACAATTAAGAACATTGTCATCGAAGTGCTGCATAATACAGTGGTGAATCCGGGACGGAGTTGTATCTTTGTTTCCAGGGAAATATCAACCAGATCGATGACCGTGATTACGTGAGAAGGAAGTGACGACAATGAAAGGGTGAAGAGCCCCACTAGCTTCCGGAAGACGACGAAAAGCGAGCACGTATGGACACGTGATGCCATCTCTTTGCGGCTATAAGACAAGATGCTTTGTGACAAGATCCTCCAGGAAATGGAAAACGGAGGAATAGTGCATTCGAGTCATGTCAGTCGTGGCATACGTAAACGTTCTTATATATTAAGAACTTTCGCCACTTGAAACTTTGACTATCGGCAAGTGCATGTCCAATCCAGCCTTTTCAGCTCTTGTCTATGACTGTGGTTTTGAATGTGGACTTGGATGTGGGATGGTTCGCCAAGATCTGACACAAGGCGCAAATTGCACCAATGCACTATTGGCCTCCAATCCATTATCACGGGCGAGTGTACCTCTTCAGCCACGTAGCGAATATATTATGCATTGTTAGTTGGTGATTTCCTACATGCTTGTTGAAATAATATATTTAAAGGGGAGAGATTTGCTTGATGGTACCCCTGCATAAAGTAATTTGCTTGATGTGACCCTTCAAATTTCATTTTACCCGATGGGACCCCATGAACGATGCACCGTCACCCATGTTCTAATAACAACTAGAGAGAGTGCAACGAGTCAACCGCACCCGCGGACAGAGTGGACTTCGGCCTCCATCACACTCACTTGTTTTTATGTTGTAATTCTGTATCCAGCCACTCCTCTAGGTGACGAGCAAAGAAATGTTCATCCGTAGTTTATTTGTTCGCCACAAATGGGTGATCGGACTTGAGCTCGGACCACTGTCCGGTAAAGCTCCTCGTCGCATACACAGGGTTACCGAAAGAGGGTGCATGTGGGAGGCAGCAGAGAAATCGGGGCGATCGGAAGAATTGAAACACAACAAATTGCACTTCGAGCAAAATCGATCTTTGTCCCCGTGATAATCCACCAGAAATTATAATCAAGGATTGATATTTGATTGTAATCACCGCATTGTAACTAATAGTAACCATAATTACAAGAACTATGTACGACGGCACACCGTCGTTGGAGTCCCATCGGGTAAAACTAAACCTGAGAGGTCTCATCAAACAAATTACTTTCCGCAGGGTCCCATCAAGCATTCTCCCTTTAAATGGAGAATGCAAGTACTAACTTTCAAAAGAATCAGAAAAGAAAAGGAAGAAGCACTGTGAACTCCCATGACATGTCTCGTAACACGTCAAGTTCGAATAAGTCCAAATTGTTGAGAAATTTGTGTATTTGACCAGCTGAGCATTGGGAAGTGGTGTTTTCTTTGTTACATTTAGCTACACCGTGTAGTACTTAAGAACATTGTCTACTTTTCAGTGCATCGTCTTGAAAAATGTAGCTCGCGAACATCTTTCCACAAGTGAATGTATCCGAGCTCCAAGCTGTATACCAACTCGGAACTCGGGATATCTCCTGCAACGTCAATTGTCACTTATCAGGTAGATAAGTGAATGGAGTAGATGAATGCATGTATGGAGTAGATACGTCACAGTTGAAGATGACATTCTGATTTCCATTCCATACACTTTGAATTTAGTATTTGATATAATTGTCTAAAAAACAGAGGAATGCCATTACTACTGTGAGGTAAACTCCTGGTAAGGAGGTTACCTCACATATCGCCATGATATAACATAGTATTCCTCGTAAAGTCACGAGTTCTTGCTGAAAAGTGTACTTGGCATTCTCTTGGTTTGTCTGAATATAGGCATTCCTCTCGAAAGATTCCAGATCTGCTCATACCGGCCGTTACTCATCATCAATTCAGGTGATGTGTACGTTCTGAGCTTTATGAATTTAATTAAAAGATAAAGTGATGCAGAATCTGAAGACATATAATTTTTAGCTTGTGGGGAAAGGAGCAGACTGCTGAACGAGTTCTTTACCTTCCAAGTCAGCGAGAGGGAACGGTTGCAAACTCTTTCCAAGTTGACAATCTAATTGGCAATTGGAGAACTAATCGGTCTACTCGTCTGCTGAAAAAGCCCCATACGACGTCGTCTTCGTGACATGATTTTGCGTGTGCTCCGGCTGTGTATATTAGTGAAGAAAGACTTCAGTAACGTCTGTAACAAATTCACGGCTAGTTCACAAAGCTTTTTCAACTGTTTAGAGCATGCAGATCCAGATGTGTGTGTTCTCATATCTTTCGTGATCAGCTTCTTCAATAACCACTACCTGTTGCAGCAGGTACATATGCTTGTGAGCTCATTTTTACTTCGATCCGTCATCACTAGTTCGAGGCAGGCTTTTAGAAGAACGTGCGCTCTTCTGTGTCACGTTTTGTCGTGGACTCAGTTTCTCAGGACCTTACAGAGTTTCATCTTTTGTAAACATTCTCGCCTTGGGAATATCTGAAGCTTGGCTTCTGTGGCAACGTGGGGGTAGACCCAAGTTTATTCTGCTCAATTCAGCTCACAGCAACCTGTTGAGCAACACCTTTAAGAAGGTACACGACGTTGTACTCGGAAACGAAGATGGTTGTGCATGCCTCAGATGAGTCGACGATCATGGTCGATATTCTTGAGAGTCTCAGTTCATCATCAGCGTCTTCATTCAAGCTAAGTCCATATCATGCCAGGATTTCGCATTCGAGCTAGTCTGAGACCAGCGAGATTAAGTAGACAAAGTACAGGTACCCGTACGGGGTCTGGGTCGGCCGACTCGTGAACTTAAGCTAACGCTCGCTAGCTCGATCGAAGATGGTAGCAACGAATTGCAAATATGCACTTGCGTGCATATTTGCAGCTGTGATCGCACTTTCGCCACCAGCATTAGCGCAGCTCCGAGAAGATTACTATGATACAGATTGTCCTACTCTCATGGACATCATGAGGAATGCCATGGACATCGTTGCAGAAAATGATCCAGTCAATTTGCCAGCTCTCCTTCGTCTGTGGTCACACGACGCGATGGTCTCGGGAGCTGACGGCTCGGTGCTACTATCCTCCAGACCTGGCGCCAAAAAGCCAGCTGAAAAGGCCGAGAAAGATGCACCTCCCAACCTCACACTCTTCGGATTTGAGGCCGTGGAGTTTCTGAAATCTGCTGTCGAGCTCGAGTGCCCCGGAACCGTCTCATGTGCGGACATCCTGGCCATCTCCGCTCAGCTGGCCGTGGAGCTGACAGGCGGGCCGGTGTTTCAGAGTCTTCTGGGCCGTAAGGACAGCAGGACTTCGCACTACAACGATGGGGTTGATGAGCTGCCCGGGGAGACCATGAACATGACTCAGCTGGTGAAGTCTTTCGCAGCCATGGGCCTCACGCAGCGTGATTTGGTCGTGCTCTCCGGAGCGCACACGATCGGATTCGCTCACTGCTCGGGCTTCATGTACCGGCTGTACAACTACAATTCCACTACGGCTGCCGATCCCACCTTAGACTGGACGCTGGCAGATCAACTGAGGCGTGTTTGTCCCAAACGCAACGCAGATCCAAATCGCGTTCAGGCTCTTGATATCACTACCATCGAGAATTTCGATAATGGGTATTACTTCAATCTGCAGCTTGCCGAAGGTATACTCGAGTCTGATCAGCTTTTGTATGAAGACCCCAGTACCAGGAGTTTGGTGGACATCTTCGCCGACGACAAGGATGCTTTCTTCCTAGCATTCGTCGAGTCCATGATCAAACTTGGAAACAACAGAGTGCTAACGGGGGAACAAGGAGAGATTCGAGAGGTTTGCGATAAAGTCAATGATTGAGTTTCTGGAGGCCTCACAACATGTAAACGTAAACATATGTCATCGGTTTAAAACATGTTTTGAGATTCCCGCTGTAGAAAACATTCCGTTAGTGGCAGGCGGATCCAAGTTGTCAGTGATTTCTGCAATTCTGTACTCTTCTCAAAATTATTTTCAGCTCACATCCATCATAGTCGTTAGCAAATGTTTGCAACTTCTATTGCGATGTCAAGTTATTCAACAAATAAATGATGGCGCTGTCGCATGCAGTTCTGCGTTGCTGTTTCAGACTATTGCAACTGCCAGTTCGATAGAACATCATCGATAGCCAGTTACTCAAAGAGAAGATTGAGTTCTATCTCATATAACTCATAGTGAAGAGGTTTGACTCGAGCTGAAAAGATTGACGCAGTAGTTAACCATTCGAATCTAATCAGTCAAAAACATTTTACAATTCTTTGTTGAAATCTTGCAAATATGCCAATCTATCTCCAGGAGTGATTTGTAATCTTATGACCTAGTTGACCAATTTGCGAGACTAATATGCAGGTAATGAAAATCAGATTCAGTAGATCCACCAGATAGTTAAAAGAACATTATACCGTAGTGTTTTGAATTGATGAATCCATTTATAACTTTCGATGATAGAATGTGATTTGATAGTCCAACTCATAAGCTCCGATACGTACCGTCCCCTTTACAAGGGCAATGCACGTCCAGTAAGTTCACAGTCCAAATCCAAATGAGTTTGAGCAACCCAGTCCATAAAGTCACTCAGTGTGCCCATTTGTCTGGTAGTTTCATCCTTGTGGGTATTTCGGGCAAAACTTTCACGATTCCTTGAAAAAGTTTTACTACCGTCTCAATCTTTCAAGATAGATGGAGGTAGAATATGACGCTATTGGATATTCCTTCTCACTGCTATGACCTTAGATGTGAAGGTTTTTTGTTGTCTGGAACTGTTTTGTAGTGTTTTTTAGGGCCCGAAAGGATTATGATTTTGTGATATACGAGGGCAAGCACAAAATCTATGAGAAAAAGAAATAGCAGTTGAAGAAGTAACTCCATTGGCCCAGAATATTTTTGGCACTTACCAGTCCGCAAACCCATAAGCTTATACGTATTCACGTTATAAACAGAGTTATAGACTACCCTTTCTCACTTTTACGTAGCTTCACGCTATTCTTCTCATACCGCGTTTATGATCTCATGATCTCATCCCCATTAATTCTACGAGATTTTATCACAAATCTCTTTTCCCTTGAACCCATTCGTCGTTTTCTTTAGAAAAACTTGTATCTTCAAGGAAGACGTTAGTCTCTTGCGAGTATTATTATGATTTCCTTGATAGTAAAAAACCTGCAATTCTTGTTTGAAACACCACTAATCTGAATTGAACTTGATGACAGTTAAATTGGCTGCTCCATCTCGACCGGTCTCATCTTTTTCAGCCTTGTGATTTTTTGTGATTCAGCCTAACACTTTCATATATCTCTGCCAATTTAGTTAGGTCATGATGTCATTAACCTTACTACCATCATCTATATGTTACTTCCTTCGTCTAACAAGGTAACATTTTTAATCTCATGCAACAAATTTCTTTTTCTAGTGATTGACATTTTGATTTCATGTCGTTTATCGGTATATATTTTTATTTCTCACTTGACATGCTAGAATTATTTATAAAGTAAATAAATCATAATGATAAATGATGTATTTATGAATGTTATGTATATAATGATGGATGAGTATGTCTAATTTTAACGAGTAATTATTAATATAGATTGCATATGATTAAGATATAGAATTTCTGACTTAAAAGCTTCATAATATTATATATAACGGGGATGTAAGGTTGATGCTACAAGGATAATGTAAAGATTATGCACATATATTATCTTTAACATATGAAAGCTTTGTATAGCACTGCTATGTTGTAATATAACGTTAAGGTTATCAAATCTTGGCTCCGGTTACCATGCTACATATGATAGTACATCTGACATGGTTTCACGGTGATTGGACTCTGACGGTTGACGAAAGATGTACTTGGGATCATACTCACTTCGAGTCTCATCAGATTAGAGAAAACAATTATTTGTATGAACAAGCAAATTTTTTTTTTCTCGGACTCCAAGAACAGGAGAAAACTGGAATTTCTTCGAAGATTTGGGCTAGCTTGGGAAGGAAGTCAAGATCTAAAGCTCCTCCAAGAAAAGTTACTTACAGCAGGGATTGGTCAAAATCTGGTCCTGCTGTCCGAGGAATTTTCTCCTACTCACACGGAGATAAGCACTAGACAGACCTTCAATGTACCAAATCTATCCACCCGACCCGCATGCAACCTTCCTTCTCCATCCCTTGTCATGTCATCAGGCAAGGTGGGGTGGCTACTACTGCGGCTCACGTTCTGTGCTTTTTTTTGGCATCATTAGGGAGTATAAGTACTCCTTCTTCGAGAATGTCTTCATGATTCAAATCTTCTGGAGTCAATGTTCTCCTTCGCTCTGAAGTCAGAATCTTGAATGCAGAGAGAGTTTGTCAGGAGAAGATTTCACCGAGCTGTATAGTTTGCAAGTGGTTAAAATGAAATTGAGTTTCATTATACTGGTTTTGGCTGCCACATCCGTAGCGGTGGTGCAGGGATCGAAGTTTTGGGATGACTTTTACGTCAACTTTGGAGATGGCAAAGTGCAGTATCCAGGATATGATACCGGAAGTAGCATTGCTTTGGGTTTAGACAACACCACTGGTACTGTTCCTGCTGTTGGCGTGATGATCAAACTGTGTTTTTCAAAGTTTTGTTTATTCTCCCGAAACATCCCTTGTCATGACAATGCAATGCATTAGGGATAAAGTTGGAGTCTGAAGCTTGATTATTGTGTGTTGCAGGATCTGGATTCCAGTCGAAGTACCCCTACTTGTATGGGAACCTCTCCATGCAGCTAAAGCTCGTTGGAGGCAACTCTGCGGGAACTGTTACTTCCTACTATGTAAGAAATAGATGCTAAATACTGTCGCTCTCCTGCTCAAGTCCACAATGTCACCGGATAATTTTTCCGTGTTGAGTGGAAACAGGCATATATGTGATTTGTGATTGGCATAAGAAAAATATGGGAATGCCTCAATATTTGAGACACTTGAAATTCGTAAAATATAGAAAAGACATGCTCCCTGAAATTATCTCAATCCAGAGTCTCTGATCGACAATATTGACTCTGTCATTAGTGTCTACAGAGCCTGTCTTGTCCTGCCGACAACTTGTGTGTTGAGTGCAGCGTATGCAATGTACTCATTACAAGATTTTTACAGTTATTGCTTCATGTCTGTCAAACCAATGCAGATGGCTTCCGACAGAACCCAGTATCCAAAGTGGTGCGAGCTAGATTTTGAATTCTTGGGTAATACTTCCGGAGAGCCTTACATCCTGCAGACCAATGTGTTCTCTGAAGGAGTAGGAAACAGGGAGCAGCGTATCTACCTGTGGTTCGATCCCACTGCTGATTACCATCAGTACGGAATCCTGTGGAACCAGGACCTCATTCTGTGAGTATCTGCACAGACTGTTATCTATTTTCTCCCTGCAATTATCGAATGTGGTCCTTTACGCCGTCGACAACCTCCAATTGAGTACGTGATTCACTGAGTCAGCCTTTTTCGAAAAACTGAGGTGTTCTGCACCAAATCTTCTGCAGGTTTTTGGTCGACAGCCGCGTCATCAGGGTCTTCCACAACGCAGCAGATCTCGGCATTCCTTACTTGGATTATCAACCTATGTACATCTATTCTAGCATCTGGAACGGAGAATCGTGGGCGACTTGTGGTGGCGGAGTGAAAACGGACTGGAGCCTTCAGCCTTTCCTTGCATCTTACACCAATTTCAACGTGTGGAATGCTTGTGAGATGAGGGATTACACACAGAGCTCTTCACATGCTTGCTTTGAAAAGCTGTACAGCAGCTCGTATGGTCAGGCCCCGAATCTAGCTCTGACACAATCTCAAATTGACGATCTGAGATGGATTAAGTACAATTATGTGATCTACGATTACTGCACCGATCTGAAGAGGTTCAACTGGACGGCTCCACCAGAGTGTGCCAGAAACTGGCCTTAGGATTTTAAAGAGGAACATTTAGATACGATTCTTCTTATTAACGACAATTAACAATTTTACAATCACTCGGAGATGCAACAGAGTGCAATTACTTAGTAGTTGGATAGTTTGGATTATTTCAGCACGTAAGTTCCTGCAGACATCATACCATCTTTGGAGCTATTAGGTGTGCCTTAGTTTCTGAGAACATATGTGAATTAGTTTTTGTCGAAGGTGACAATAAAGACCATCTTCATTGGTCAAAGATTCAAAAAAATCGTTCAAGCACGCGTATCATGCTGGTGTTTGTATTCTTCTTTGGTAAGCGAAGTACAGTCAGGCGAAGTTTTTCTATCTGACGAGGAAAACCATCGTGGCAGACCTTTTTGGACATTTCATGATATCTCAAGCTCTGCTTCTTACTGCTCTATAGAGCTGAGCGAAACTATTAATGAATGCTTCTTAATCGTAAGAAATTCATCACATGAACCATTTGAGCGAGCTCAACTTTGAACTCTGTTTCGGATACCATTGTTCAAGCTCTTGTTTACATTCTATTGGGATGTTGGTAAAGTTTGCTCGACAAGAAATGGATCATGGAGCTTGCCCCTGCTGCTTCCACCCTCAAGGCTCTGAGTTCGATCACAATACATGCCCATTCTTTACTACAGCCAAGTTGTTTATTAGACTTAAAAATTCGCTGACAATATTCAGGAGTGGCCACATGAAGTAAACATCAGATGGAAGAGCTCCTACGAATCATAGCGTAGAATACACTCCAGAATCCATTCCACTTCGCAAACTTGTTCTCCAAATGCTTATTGTTGATTTTATTGCAAATGAGTTTCCCTTCAATAAGATGATATGTTCCAATGACATTTTATATTCATTCTCAATCTCCATCATTTTTTGTTGATAAATTTTCAGAT